AACGAGTTTTCGGCTCATAAGATGAGAAAATATTAATATTGAAAAAGCATTCACTGACTTTTAGTCTCCGGAGTGCCACAAACAAGTTCATTTGTATGTTCTATATCAGCCATCACTTAAATGAATTATTTTGCGCCCAAAGAAAATTGTCTAGAGAACCGTCTGAAAAAATATACTAGAAATACCACTTGAGGGAACTCGAGTTCATCACTTCCAGCTAATGAAGTCCTGAGACTTTAAAGACACATTATGTAAGCTCTCGTTTAATATCTAAGGAATAATAGGACTTCAGACTTTATAAGACTAAAACTAAATTTTATTCTATAGATTTTGTCATTACTTATAATTCAGTAATTAGCGTTAATATTGCCCTTTATTATAATTTATATTGTTTTTATTTTCTTTTTATAATAGCATTAGGTATAAGTGTACCAAAGCTCAGCGTAAGCAAAAACCTGGCTGATCACGTGTTAGGGGAGGATTCACAAGGAATTACTGGTAAAAAAAATAAAATTATTGTTAATTGTTAATGCAAGTAGACTATGCACCGATTTACAATTTATTGCATTGAATTTCTGATTCCATTTTATTTACTGAACTATAATGTTTAAATTTAATTAATTAACTCTTTTTCACATAATGGTCAATATGGTGATGTTATGGTCACCGGTTTTTTTCAATCTCAGACTAGGCATTAGTTAACCATATTAAAACCACTTAAATTGGTCATTAAATATATATATATTTTAAAAAATGTGTGTTTTTATTATAAATTTAGCTCTAGGAGCGATTCTTTTCAGATGACCTTATTTATAAAAATTATTTTTTTATTTTTATATCTCAGGGGTATTCATGGTCTTCTTGTTATTTGTTGATATAGTCCTCAAAATTTATGGTATGAAACCAAATTTAGGGAGATGATGGGTAAAAATTATATACTTCTCTTTTTAATGGAAGGTGTGCCTGCAACTATTTTTGCACTTGCCATTTCTAGTTCCGTCCATTATTGCCTACCTTACACCACATAGCCTCGTTGACGAAAGGAGGAAAAACACACAAAGACCTATATGAAAGTAGATAAAAGACATTTTGCCGTACAAAAACAATACAAAATTATGAGAATGCTCGATTTATTGATAAGATAACAATTAATCTTTTATTTTATACAGCTTCCGTAGAGATCACTATTTCAACCATATTATCTTGATCAACAAGCGACATAAATATGTATAGATCATTGATCGGGTGCAGGAAGGACTTATGTTATGTATTTCGTTGCTAGGAAATGTAAGTTAAATGATGAAGTTGAAGTTGAATGAATGAATGGTAGGACCAATTTTCGTATCATTAGCAAAATAAATATTGAATAGTTTATGTAAGAGCTATATTCACCCTATTTAATTTAAGTTGATTTCTCCCAAAGCTTATAATTATGTCTTGTGCTTGATACAATTTCGCACAGCCTTGCTTCTCCAAGGTATTCTTACCCAAACTGAAGTGAAATCCAATTTAGACCTTGCTCAGGACTTATTAGCACCCTTAGTGGGATACAAACTCGGGTATTGTAGCGCATAGTCTCGACAAATTAATTATTGCCCTACGCGGCCCCGAGGGACAAGGGTCAGATTGAGGTGAATTTCGAGGAAGCTAAGGTCTCTCCGATATCACATTTCTGTGGCTGGACTGTCGATGGAGCTTAGTTGTATTTGCTATTAAAATTGAAATTATTGTCTATTTTCTGTTTTATACGTAGGTTTTTGGGACTACCAGTAGGTATTATACAGGAGTTGTATTCACACTATTTCTTTTAAAGTGCTGAAGGTCTATTAGTTCCAAAAATCTACTCATAAAACCAAAAGTGAGTAGTATAATTTACCAAGAGATTAAGAATTCGGTATACAATTTGTGCCTTCTTCTGTTCAGCTGAATGTGAAAAGTAAATAATATATCTATCCTAGTGAGTAATTCTTTTGAGTTATGACATAAACACCGTATAAAATTAAATAAATATAGTGCTGCAATTTATTCGCATCTGATCTTTAATTACCTAGTGTTCAAAAGTGGAAGGTTTTCCCTCACGCGACCTAGGCATCATAGTCATTAAGAATCTTAGACAAGTGGTATATGTTAGGATAGCAGATCAGTTTTAAAAATGAACTTGCAAATGCTACATCAGGAAGAAATTTAATATTAAATAGTAACAAGCTATCTGGAGAAATATTATTTTTGTAGCTATATATAAAAGGCGGTATCCTAAGTTGCAAAATATAATTTGTGTACCAAAAAAATATTTTTAATTTATAAAGATTTTCTTATTTTTGCCGCCTAACAAAAAACATGATTTTTTTTATTGTAGAAGATCAAATGATGCCTGATGCTGAGCTAGCGTTTGAGGATTTTGGAAAAATTCCAATGGCATTGCCCGCGCTCACTGTTAACGCCTCCATCTCAGACTCCGATATTCCCCCATTTCGTGGTTTACTTGGCCTATTTATCCTCATTGGTGGCCGGCAGCACATTACTAGTTTATCTGATACAAATACAGCACCTTCAAAACCAGCAAATTTACAAAGTATCCTCATTTCCACGCCATCAACGATCTCGAGTAACTCTAAACTTTCATTGTTTAAGGAGTCCACTGACATAGCTGCCTTAGCTATTATTGAAGGAGGCCAGGAGAAGAATAGCACTACCAGAAATAGATATGTTCGAGCTGTCGGTCAACAGAGCCTGGCCTTACCTCTAGACGGAATGGCAGAACTTTTGTCACGAAATATGGAAGAAGAGCTATTCACTAACCGTCCATGCTCTCGTTTCGTCTGGATACCCTGCCTTGATTGCATCAACACGAAACTAGATGTCTGGCAGGTAATACAATTGGGATAAATGTATATTTTTTCAATTTTATTTAATTTTTAGACTGACTGAGTTGGTAGTATGCAAAACGAAGAATCGAAATACATATTACTACTGATACTTCATTCCGTCTTATACTCTCATGTATTGAATACGAGTAATTGGCTTTTGCTAAATCTCCCAATATTGAATATTTGCTCTCTTTCCAAGGTTCTCGATGAGGAGATTCTTAGGTCGACATAACTAGAAAAAAACGGCTGATCCCAAATTAACTACGGTATTCTTATTCTTTTACTAAGACGCTCAAATTCACGCAGTCCACGAGACATGTTCGTTCAGTCATGGTGAAGACGGTCTAAGCTTCAGTCCATCAAATCACAGACATCATCAGACGCTAACATTATTCTTTAATAA